CCTCGAGGCGCTGCTGGGCCGGCTGCAGGCCGAGCGCCGGGGCCTGGAAGCGGCCCACGAGCGCGACGTGCGGGAGCTGCGCGAGCGCGCCGCCCGCCTGACCATGAGCTACCGAGCCCGCGCCGCCGGCCCCGCCGCGTCCCCGCCGCGCCTGCGGGAGGTGCACGACAGCTACGCGCTGCTGGTGGCCGAGTCGTGGCGGGAGACCGTGCAGCTGTACGAGGACGAGGTGCGCGAGCTGGAAGAGGCGCTGCGGCGCGGCCAGGAGAGCCGGCGCGAGGCCGAGGAGGAGACGCGGCAGTGCGCGCAGGAGGCGGAGGCGCTGCGGCACGAGGCGCTCGAGTTGGAGCAGCTGCGCGCGCTGCTGGAGCAAGAGCTGCTGCGGCTGCGGGAGGCGTACGAGCTGCAGGCGGAGGAGCGGCAGGTCCGTGCGCCGGGACCGCCCCACCCCGGACTCTGTGGGTGGTGAGGGAGGGGAGCGGCGGGGCTCCCCGGACCCGCTGCTCGCGCCCTGGGCGTGGCGTCGCCGACGGGTGGGGCCGGTCCGGAGGTGCCCGAACGGCCCCGGGAGCTGGGCGCGGAAGGGGGACCTCAGGGGTCCCGGCGTCTCACCAGCCGCAGGAGAGGAGCGCGGTGTGTGGGACAGCCGGCTAGCGCTAATGTGGCGGGGCCGTCCGTGCCGTCTAGATAGGTTGTCAGTTTCTCTAGCTCTTGACATGAGAGGGGGCATCCCGACAAAAGACCCAGTCAGCTCCAGGTTCTCTTTCGATTTCCTGTGCTTCGTGCACCTGATTTACACAAAAGTGAGCCAAGAAACCCCTCCCTCTGACTTCCACAAGTGGTCGCAGAGGTGACAGCTCATTCCTTCTCGGATAGGTCTCAGCGCCGGGAGGTTTCTTAGTCACAGTCAAGCCCTTACCGGGCGCCATTCAAAATGACAGCCCCTTAGCCGTAGGGCACCCTTGGGGGAAAACTTAAATTGTTCCTAAAACGGCTTCTGTTTTGCCAGAGTGATTTCCCTGGAGTAGGCAGCTGGTTTGGCTCTCTGGGCCACTCGCCCTGTTTGTTCTCGGGAGGGGCAGGAACCTCCATGCAGAAAGGAGCTTAAATCAGAGATGTTTTTCCCACAGCACAAGCGGGCCATCAGATCGCTGGGTAGTGTAAGGGTTGTGGAAACGTGCTGGTCCCTGTGGCAGGATGTTATTACAAGTGCAGGGTAATATAAACAGTTACTATTTCGGAGAGGCAAAGCCCAAACCTCTGACACTGATCGGGTGACACCTGTGACTGATTATTGTGTGTCCATCCAGTCCAGCACTGGGGTTGGCCCTGGTCCTGCCTCGTCTAGGCCAGAATTGAAGATACTCCCAAATCGTATTATCCTTAGTTCTCAGGACGGCAGTTGACAATAACATCCTCAGAAATTCAGAAATATTTTAAGGGGATAATTTGGGGTTGAAGATTTGGGTAGAGTGATTTTGTGCCCCCCTTTTTTTAAAGTTAAAAGTAAATGAAACATGATGGTTGTGGCATAGAGGACCATGGTGATGTGACAGGTGTCCACAGTCAGCAAATATCTATTGGCTGCTCGCTCCTAGGTCCTCAGCACTGCGGTGGGTTTCAGTATTCAAAGAGCTGGAGCCTAGATGGGAAATCCTGTAAAGCAATACAGTACTAAATTGTTTGGAATTTATAGTATTTTTAAAAATGTTTATTTATTTTTGAGAGAGAGCTGGCTGGGGAGGGTCAGAAGGAGAAGGAGACAGAGGATCCAAAACAGGCTCCACGTTGACAGCAGAGAGTCTGAGCTGGAGCTTGAACTCACAAACCATGAGATCATGACCTGATCCTGAGCCGAAGTCGGCTGCTTAACTGACTGAGCCACCCAGATGCCCCTAAATCGCCCGGAACTTAATCTTTTAGGATGTGGGTCTGGTTGAGCCTCTGCCTCATAATTGTCAAAAACATTCTCCTTAGGTTGTAGGTGGAGCAAAGATAGGGACTGGCTGAAGTGTGTGCTGATTTCCAGAGCTTTCTCTAGACTCCAGAGTGCTTCCCTCTCCAGTGATGACAGCCAGAGATGCTAGTTCCACGGGGCCCCATGCACTGCGTTGCGTGTAAGTTAAAAGTATCTTAGTAGGCTTTCATGGAGCTTTTAACCAAAAGGAAGTGCCAGCCAAACTTCCTGTCCACTGAGCCCCTTTTCAGGGAATCTCTGCTCCCACCTCAAGGGCCTGGGCTGCACTGGCACTTTTAGAAACTGCTTCTTTGAGGTGTATCGTGTGGGCCAAATCCTCACCATTTACTGTAGTCGTAGCTCACTTGGCCCATTCTGGACATTGAAGCTCTGGTAACAGGGTTCTTTTTTAGCCCAGGACCCTTTTGCCCGTAAATAAATCTTAGTGCCGCCTCAGATAGGAGCAGATAAAAACAGAGCTCTTCCGACTGTGCAGAAGTGGGGACTTGGGATGCACAGTTGGAATCACTGTCCCGCTCTTCCATGCAGAGACTGGGGCCCAGCGAGGATGTGCCTTCCCTGGGGTCACACCTGGCGGGGGCTAGGACCCCACACTCAATCTGTCCGGGTGATACCTCTCTTGTTGGAGTTTACTTCTTTGCCCTAAAAGTAGAGAGCAAGGAATGTCAATGGGGCTTGGATTGTTTTCACTTCCAATGTGTGAAGATTTCATTCCTTCCCTATCCCTATTCCGAATCTTTCCCCTGTTAGCTTAAAGCAGCCAGATTTCAAACTGCATTTCCAAAGATTCAACACCAACCATTAGAGTATTTTTTTTTTAAAGATACAGGCATTTGTTAAAGAGTAAGTATCAGTGATTTAAGCCCAAGCCCTTGATATCTTCAGATTCTATGGATGCTCTGGGGACCCTGAAAATGCAATTAAAACCCGATTTAGCTAATATAGTGTAGTACATGTTTCATCACTAAGAGTTAGCCTTTATCAAGCCCTTCTTTTGCGTCAGGTACCACAGGGACAGGGCTTTTCCCACAAATTCACTCTTGGTCCTCACCCTGATCTTATGAGGTGGATACTAAAATCAGCCCCATTTTACAGATGATGAACTGAGGCACAGATGATGAATTAGGTCCACCTAGTTTGTAAGTGGCTAAGCCAGGGTTCTATTCAGGTGCCAGTATCTGAGCAACTAACCACTAAGCCGCATCTTTGTTCCCATCCAAGATAAACATTTAACCGGTATTCTCTAACTCAGGGCTAGCCCAGTGGTGCCCAGTTAATCTGAAACTCCTAAAATCCTTTCTGACCCTTCCAGCTGGCTGTTGTTAGGATACTTTTCCTGTCAAATATGTTTCACTTGGCTTTTGTGTTCCATGTGGTTTAATGGGGCCCCTCCCCTCCCCCTCCTGGAGGCAGGAGCTCCTGCTCAGCGCCCAGAGAGTCTTCCTGGCTCTGGGCCTCCTGTGCAGCCCAGGAGAACGAGATGCTAGCCAGGACTCTCTTTCTGGGAAAAGTGGTTTTTCCCCTAAGGCCTACGTATTAGGCCTTCTCTCTGTTAGGCCTCTCCGTCAGAGTTGCCAGAGAGAAGTTTGCTGAACTGGACATCCAAGTCCCCAGCATTTTATACTCACTTAAAGCCTGAGTAATACACCCTGTCTCCCAGTTTGCAGGAAGGAGCTTTGGACAAAAACTTAAGACATTTGTGGTTTATGCCAGCCTTACCCTATAAAGACTGAGATTTTTTGCTTGCAAAACTGAGCTCTTCGCCTTTGGGGCTAACTATAAAAGGCTTCCAAGTCCCCAAAACGTGACTGAATGAGACCTTTCTTTTGATTAGAATAGGAATGGGTTAGCCACCCTGCCTGGGCCTGAATTCTGGCTGTACCACTAACTGTGTCTCCGTTTCCCCATTTGTAAAAAAGGGATCATAAAATCCAACGCACTCATTCATCCGAGGGCTATTGAGCACATAATGTGCCAAGCAAGCTTGGTTCTTAAGTACCAGGAATATATAGCAGTGAACAAAACAGAGAAAGTCCCTTGACTTCACAGGTCTTGAGGTGGAAGCTGCTCAGGAGGCGGGCCTGGCTGGGGCAGAGGAAGCAAGGGGAGCGTGGCCTGTGTAGGACTTGGGCTTTTGCCCTGAGCTGCATGAGGAGCCACTGGATGGCTCTGAGCAGAGGGGAGTGGTGGTCTGACTGTGTCTGAGTGGAGCTGCTCTGGCTGCTGTATAGAACGTAGACCGTGTGGGGCAAGAGTGGGAGCAGAGCAAACTTTTTAGGAGACTGCAGTAATAATCAAGGCCGGAGGCACTGGATGCTTGGACCAGAGGCAGGGGTGGGGTGCTGAGAGGGAGCTGCCCTCCAGAGTTGAAGCAGACAGGGTTTGCGGATGGATTGGATGGCAGTGGAAGAGAGGGTCAGAAATCCCAGTTGATGCCAGTGCTCGTGGCCCGAATAACCGAAAAAAGGGAGCCCTCTTTGCTAGAGGGGGTTGGGGCAGGTGATTTGGCGGATCTGGGTGGGAGATCAGAGTTCACTCTGGATGCCTCTTAGATACCCACCTGGTGTTGTAGCATAAAATTATGCGCCTGGAGTTGAGGGTATTGTCTGGACTTGAGCGATAAACACTTAGGATTCAATTAACGCTTGTTATTATGAATACATGCAGGTTTGGGGTCTAAAACAGGTTATCGTGGTATTTAAATCCCTCCAGCTCTAACACTCAAGATCCTGAGTGACTGTGACATTTGCAAGCTCTTCCTATTTTGTTTGTGTGACTTGCTCAGCAAAGAGCGGCTTTGCTGTGGGTAAGAGAACGATTTCTCTGGACACTGTCAGCAGCACGCTTTCCCTGATGCAGAGCTACATTTCATCATCTGTTGTGATGCCATCCAAAAGTTCCCTAAATAGTAACTAAAAAAGGTGACCTCTCTCCCCAGCTTTTATAAGATTAGGCGGATATGCTTTCGCTTGGTTACTTAGGATCAGCGTGCTGTATCTCATACTCCAGTGCGTCTGGCCTGGCCTGGCCGGGCCTGGCCCACGGTTTGAAAACCTCTGACAAGGTAGAAACCAGGTCTGAAGCTTTCTTCAACCAATAGGATCAGTTACAATTTCTGTGGAGACTGTTAGGAGCCAATAATAAGTCTTAACGTTCCTGCTTTCAAAAGTCAAGTAATTTTCCTTTGACAGTTTAGGAAGGGTTGAATCACATGGAAATACGGTGGGAACTATATTTTTTAACTTACACCCAGTTTGATTTTCTTCCTCGTATTTTGTGGGGGTGCAGAGCCATTCTAGAGTGCCCTCTGGGGAGAGAGAGAATCTTTGGGCATACCTCTTTGGCCTGGCTGGGGGGTCCTGACCTCCTCAGGACGTTTGTGGTTGGAGAATCGAGTGCACGTGATATTTTTTTTCTAAGCGAGTTCACAATAATTGAAGTTCTCTATAAAGAATACATTACTACAGATTCTCAAGTTTTGAGATTTAGGTTGAATTTCATGTAGTAGGAAGGAGTAATGGCTGTATGTTTATAGCATGTTTTAACTCTAACTTATACCTGGGATTATACTCCCTCTAACATGGGAGAACAGAGGATTTTAACACCAAGACTTAACTATAGATGGAGGAATATCCTGGCTAAATTCTGGCAACCTTGTCACTTAAATCCAGACTGGCCAATGGTCTGCTTAGGTGAAGGTCTTTATCTACTTACATGCCAGTTTTCCAGGAGATTAACAGAGATCTACTCTGGGATACTTGCTAGTTCTTAAATTCACTTCTTTGCTTTAAAAGCTAAATAGTTTCAGTTTTTTGTTTTTAAGCACCCTTTATATGCCAGGAGAATCTAACAATCATTCGCTGAGCTAGAACTCTTTGGGAGGCAGAATTATTTTCCTGAAGATTGTGCATTGTTTAAAATGGTAGATCCAGTGTGAGATCTTAGTTCATTCTTTGGTTTTATTTACATATTAATTGTGGACCTTTAGCATATCACCAGGTGCCTTTGCTGGAGGGATTACATGGGGAATGGAAATAGATCCCCTCTCCTTCTGGCGTTACAGTTTTTGAATTCCACAAAGATAAATATCTAAAAATGTAGCCAGTTTAGTGAACTGTATTCAGAAATAATGCTGTTTTCCATTACAAACCGGAAGTTAAAGTATATGGACTCATTCCAGTGTTTAAATATGTGCTCAGTTAATTATTCCTCAGAACAACTATAAAATATTATGTAAAAACTACAATTCAGAGTAATGCAAAGCTGTAAAATGGCACTGATGGAGCCATTGTATTTATTAACTAAAAGGTATTGCCGATTTAAAATAGCACAACTTGGGGTGCCCGGTGCGGGGGGGGGGAGCCCAGTTGGTTAAGCATCTGACTTCAGCTCAGGTCGTGATCTCACGGTTTGTGAGTTCAAGCCCCTCATTGGGCTCTGTGCTGATAGCTCAGAGCCTGGAGCTTGCTTCGGATTCTGTGTCTCCCTCTTTCTCTCTGCCCCTCCCTTCTTGTGCTCTGTCTCTCAAAAATAAATAAACATTAAAAAAAAAAAAACAACTAAAACCACATCTTGAGGAGTTACTATCTATTATCTTGATCATTTCCAGTCCAACTCACCAGTTGTGTACTGTGCGACGTAGAGGGAGTGGGCATTTTTCTAGAGGAGGGGGATGCCCAACGTGGCAGACCAAGCCCGTCAGTGTCTCCCAGCCAGGAGGAGAGAAGGATAGATGTAATTACCAGGTGTGAGTGGAACCAGCATAAGGGCTGTGAGGATGATGTGAGCATGTGCAGAGAGAGAACTTACGACTCTGGGCTACAAGTACAGTCAGAAGATTTATATCCCGTTCTGAATTGACATTTATGCCTAGAAGATATTTCTACATTTCTGCCAGCAGATGAGCATGCTACTTTAGGCACTTGGCTTTGTTTGTGGAGATGTTGACTTGAATCGGGGGTGAGCAACCCAGATTAAAAGGTCTCAAAGCCCTCAAAGGGGCTGGATGCTGGGTGGGCAGAGAACATAGCCTGGGGCCCCTGGAACTGCCTGTGGGCCAGCAGAGCAATGCTTCCCTTGGCGTTCCTTTCCCCTCCCCTCCTGCTCAATGTAGCTTTCTCCCCAGATGATTGTAAAGTAGCTTTTCTAGGTGAAACACAGAGCTCTGTCAGCGTACCTGCTTATTGTTGGGGAAATCATGAGTACGGAGAAAATTCTGTTTCACATCCGAGTGACTTCTGTTTTTGATATTGTAAACCCTCTGCTCTCTGGTCTGGGCTTACTTTCAATAGCATCTTCGTAGACCGGTTTGATATGCTGAGTTTCCTAAGCAGAGATTCTTTAAGAGACTCCTAAGCATTCATTATTATTAGAAAGTAGGAGCAGAGGAGCCAGTGTCCTATCAAAATCGTCCATGTGCAATACAAAACAACTTTCATGTGGGGGTGCCGGGGTGGCTCAGTCGGTGAAGCATCTAACTTCAGCTCAGGTCATGATCTCACACCTCGTGAGTTCAAGTCCTGCGTCGGGCTCTGTGCTGACAGCTCAGAACCTGGAGCCTCTTCAGATTCTGTGTCTCCCCCTCTCTCTGCCCCTCCCCTGCTCACTCGCGCGCACTCTCCCTCTCTCAAAAATAAACCTTAAAAAAAATTAAAAAAAGCTTTAATGTGGAAGAAATCCTGTATTTAAAAGTCAAAATATAAAAATGCCCTGACAATGACTTCATCTTTAAGAAGCCTAGAGGTGGTTGTGTGTGTGTGTGTGTGTGTGTGTGTGTGTGTGTGTGTCTTGAACTGTTGGTATCTTCAGTTTGACCAAGCAAAGCTCTAGTCCTGTAATCTAAAAGCCCTTTGTTCTCTTTAGAGAGTGATTACCTGCCTGGAGGATGAGAAGGCGGCCCTCACCTTGGCCATGGCGGACAGGTTGCGAGACTATCAGGAGCTTGTGCAGGTGAAGACTGGCCTCAGCCGGGAGGTGGCAACATATCGGTAAGGATGCTGTGCAAAGAGGTTGCCTTGGCGAAGCTAGAGATCCCCCGTAGCCTCCAGAGTCCATGAGGCTCCGTGATAATCAGAGGGCAAACCCTGGCGTGGCCAGCCCTGGAGTCCAGGGCTAGAGAGGAGGAAGAGCGGGGCCTCACTTAGATCACCAAGCCAACCCCCCCCCACCCCCCCAGTGATGGGAATGGCAGAATTCATACCCTTGCCTGACGTCTACGTGTCCTGGGCCCCAGGGAAGAGTTTTACATGTGTCAGCTCCTTAGATCCTAGAAATTAGCTCCTGCATTTACAGAGGGACAAACTTCACTCAGGGAAGTTATGGAGCTAGAATGTGGGGGGTCAGGACTCAGACCCAGAAACTCCCAAGTCCACGTGCCTGTTGCACTGTTCAAATCTCAGGGCTCTGTTTCTACTCCCCACAGCTTTGGCCTTGAGGAACTACATTTCTGCCAGCAGATGAGCATGCTACCTTAGGCACTTGGCTTTGTTTATGGAGATGTTGACTTGAATCGGGGGTGAGCAACCCAGATTAAAAGGTCTCAAAGCCCTCAAAGGGGCTGGATGCTGGTGGGCAGAGAACATAGCCTGGGGCCCCTGGAACTGCCTGTGGGCCAGCAGAGCAATGCTTCCCTTGGCGTTCCTTTCCCCTCCCGCTCCCCATGGTAAGCAGTCTTTGGTTGGGGTGGTGCCCCATATTTCCTGCAGCTTTCATGCTCAATGAGGACTGGGTACAGAGGGGCCCAGATCTCAGACACTTACAGTGGAAGCACTTTAGGAGGCCCCGGATCCCCGCTTGTGAGGATGATAATAGCAACCAACATTATCGAGCAAGCCCTTTGTGGCTGTTCACTGTTCCACAGTCTCCCTCTCTGGGTAGATATTCCTCACCCCTTTCCCAGGTGCGGGAGAGAGGAGCCTGGTAGCCAACCCCCCCTCCCCCCCCGCGCTTCACTTCCAGGATATGTCGGAGCATAAATTGATTGCGGGTGTGAACGAGCCCTGGAAAATCTGCCTTGGCAACTGAGTAGAAGACATGGTCATAAGTGCCATCTTCTGACAACATCACTGCTAGCAGATTGGGGGAGTTCAACCTGGAGAGAAAAAGGAGGGGACCAGGGTCCACTCCCTTGATTAGAGACAGAGCCAGGGCAGAGGCAGGCCTAGTTCACTCCCTGTGGGCTGCACAGTCCACAGTCTTCTGATCATGATTTTGCTCTCAGAATATCCAAATGGCCTGGGTAGCTTTGATATACATTAGTAGCCTAATGCAGCCTCGGGCCAGCCTCACTGTCTGTACTGTCTGGAAGGACTCGCCTCAGCCACCCTCTCATCGAGGCCCTTAGTACCATCAGTGAAGAGGGAGCAGGCAGTGGGGCAGCCCCTGGCCTGGGCCCAAGGCAGCCACTAGGGGGTGAGGTCCACCTAGGGCCCAGCAGCTGAATGGAAGGGTGGGCAAGCCAGTGGGGGCTTTGCTGCGCCCCTCCCTCTGAAAGCCGTGCTGTGGCTGAGCGCTGCAGAGGCCGTGGTAGTCTGGATGCGGACAGAGGGTGGAGGAGGCGACTGCCAGCCTGTCCCTTCTCAAACTCCATCTCCCACATTGTCCTTGGAGACCCCCTGGGATGAACGATTGCAAAATTAAATTGGTAGGGTGTTCCAACAAATGCTGCGTGAGAGAATCTGGGTTTACTAATAAGGAAAACTTCAAAACGGGCTTTATTCAGGGGGAAGGAAGCATTAATCAGCATTTTCTTCACTTACAAGTGACAGAAGGCCTTCTCAGACTGGCTCAAGCCAAGAGCAGGGTTTATTACTCGCTTAACTGAAGAAGTGCCTGGTTTCAGGCACAGTAGGTCTGAGTGCCCTGGTGAGGTTTGATGGTGACTGTCCCTGCCACTTGCTCTGGTCTCTTCCTTCTTGGCTCTGCCCATGCTGCGGCAGGATGGGCCCCAGGCAGTGCCAGGCTTTGACCTGGAGGTCGGAGGAAGGGACTCTTTCACATCCATCCCACCAGGACTCCTGGGCCCAGCTCTCTGGCTCTCTTGGGCCACGTGTTTGTCCCTGGTCAGGGGGACAAAGTGCTCCGGGGCTTGGAACAAGGGGTCACCCTCCCTTGAGTCCCACGGATTGAGATAGCGGGGAGGTGCCCTGAACTTGCACTGACCTGGAGCAGGTTGTGCTGGGTTGTCCCAGCAGTGTGACGGTTGGCAGGGGCCCAGTGTACTGCTTCTGTCTGTTGCTGGCATTTCTCTAACCCAATTAAGGGTTGACTTGGTTACCCCCTAGGAATTAAGGTGGCAACCGGACATCCGGAAAGCAGGTGATTGATTTCACCGTGTGTCTCTTTGAAGTCCAAGTTTGCACGGGGAAAATGATGAGCCTGGGCCTGGCCTTGCCTGGTTGCAGATACACCACTGGTGAGAACTGCTTGCAGGCCTCCCTGCTTCCCAGGGCTCAGGATTTAGTCTGGGAGGTGCCCACAGGCAGTTGAATATAATCCCTTTCTTTGTATGAGCCAAAATTCTAGCATTATTATAGCTGCTGGGTGTCCTGCAGAAAAACCCTTGTCATATGTGACTCTTGTAGGATTTTACCTAGCTGCCCAAATTCTAGGCCAGGTATCAGACTTCACATTTGCATCAGTGCCCTTTTGTTCTTCTGACCCTTTCACAAGTGCCCGTTTGATCTTTGTAAGTCTTGACCCACTGTCTTTGAGGAAGTTGACCCTCCTTCCACACCCTGCCCCACTGAGTGCAGCAGAGACTGCCAGCCTCTTGGGGACCAGGGCCTAGGGCCCCCTGCAGTGTGACTTCTTACCAGCCCTGTGTGGAGGGGCCGAGGGTGGCTGACAGTGTGGCTGGCTTTGCTTTCCTCTCCTGACCGAGATCATCTACATTTGCCCCAGGTGTTCCGTGCAGTGCCCAGAGTTGATAGCCACCATTCTGACTAAGCATCTCATATGGAAGAGAAGGGGTTGTGGCTCCTTAAAGTCAGCAGCACATCCCAGTACAGCTGGAATTTGTCAGCTGTGCGGAGGCCGGCTCTCAAGTGTCACCAACACTTCTGAACCCAGATATCTGGCCCTTCACTGCGAAAAAGAAATACTAATAACAAAATTGTGTAATTTATAATTAAATGTAGACTTAGAGTTTATAAATAAAGATACAGATTTAATAAGATAATAAAATTAGAACAAAGCAAACCCCGGAGTCTAAGGCTGGAGGATTTCAGCAAGCCTAGTGGGCCAGTTGGTGGCCAGGGAAGGTAGTGGTGTCTCACCTGGTGGGTGACTGTGAGAATGAGCCCTCTCCTCCTGTGGGGCTGGCCGATGCTAAGACCAGGGCAAGCACCGGAGAAGGCGGGCTGGCACGGGGACCCGTGCTCACTCTCCTCTACCTGTCACCGGTGAAGTTGTCTGGGGCTGGAGGTGCTTGTCTGCCAGATCCGTGATTGTGAGTGTGTTTGTTACACTGGCAGCTGAGCGGCTGGAGGGGAGATGCTCAAATGGGACAGGGTGTGGTTCTCAGCTCCATCTGTACTTGGGGGTCATCTGGAGAACCTGACGAAGCTTTGGCCCCTGGGCCCAGTCCTAGATATTCCAGTTAACCTGGCCCAGGATGGGCCCAGGTCTGGTGGTTTTACAGCTCCGAGGAGGACTGTCAGGTGCAGCTGGGGTAGAGAAGCATGGGTGCAGACCAACAGGGTTGGCATCATCTCAAGCCTGTGGGAAATGCAGAATCTCCCGCCCATTCCAGACCTCCTGCTCCAAGTCGGCCTCATGACGAGATCCCAGGTGATTTGTGTGCACATCACTGCTTGCAGAGCAGCCTGGGGACATCCTGAAAGCATTAAGCCTGTCTCACAGTAGCCTAGAGATGAGGCAAATGAAGGGCAGGCTTACTGGTTGCCAGGTGCTATGGGGGCATCGTGGATGAGGCACGCAGCCACGGGCTTCCAGGAAGATCGTGTGGGAAGGGCTTCCGGGCAGAAGGGCCAGCCTGGGCGAGGATCTGAGGATGGAGCTAGCGTGGCATCTGTGGCAGTGCCGGGAATTTGGGCAGCTTGGTTTTGGGGGCCTGGCATGGAGGGCTGTGTGTGTGATGGATGGGCAAGAGCCACCCCTGTGAGGCCATGTTTTGTGAGTGGGGTCTGCCTTCCGGCTGCTCCAGAGACACTGGCAGGCAGGGCGCTGTGCCTGCTCAGACGGGCCACAGACATATAGCCAGTGGCTTGGTGCTGAGGGTCACGTGCGGTGGATGAGGCTGCGTGGATGTAGGTCGCCTCCTGCACTGTGTAGGAAACAAGAAACGCCCTACAAGCCACACAACTACAAGGCATCTGGAGATCAGAAGGGAGTTCTGAGAATCAGGGAGGGCTTCAGGAGGGAGGTGAGACTGATCTGGATCTTGAAGGATGGTGGAGATTCGATCAGACATGTAAGGAGAGAGGGGAGGCAGGAAGTGGGGGGTGGCATGTGGGGAGGGACCAGTCCCCTTAGGTGAAAAGCCAAACAAGGTGATAAAAAAGCACACATGCCAAGAAAACACTGTAGACCGTTTACTGCCAGCTAACAGGGTCAGATAAAGACGGTTCACAGGAGGGACAGAGAGCTGCCAGCCGAGGTTGGCAGGAGAGATTTTCAAGAGATGTGAGATTTGAGTTGGCCTTGAAGGGCTGGGAAAGTCGGCAGTAGGAAGTGGGCTGACAGGAAGGACTCCGGAAGGAGCTCCAGGTGGAGGAGTCTGATCAGAAAACAGGTGGAGGAAGGAGAATGCAAGGTGAGTGAGCAGAGGCCTGGGAAGAGGGCAGATGGAGGGGCCTCGACTGGAGGCCACTGAGGTGGAATCTGCACAAGCGGGGCAGGGAGGTGGCCGCTGGCAGCTAAAGGGCAGGACGACTGCGTGCCGAGGTTGCGGGGGGTGGGGGGATGGGTAGTGATGTGGGTGCTGGGAGGCCTCAGGAGGTCTCCGGTCACTGGCGGTTCAGGTAGAGAGGACCTGACATGGGTGGCCGAGGGAGCCTCTGCGTAGGCTGACCAAGGCACCGGAGCCTGGCTGGGGGGAGCCCAGGAGCGTGGGAGAAGGGCGCCGCTCATTACGTGCTCTTGCAGACGAGACCTTGGCAGCGAGCCTTGTCTGTGAAGCAGCTGTTTGTTCAGGCTCCGTGAAAACCAGGGGCCAGTGATGCTGTCCAGAGCCCACGGCACCCCAGACCCCCCCGCACTGCTGACACGAGACCTGGTCCCAAAACTGCAGATTGAGAGCTTGCATAAACGCAGCTAGAAAATAGTCTCCTTGCCCTGCCCCCCGCCCCCCCCCCCCACAAAAAGAAAAAAAACCCCAATCAGCAAGAAACAATTAGAAAAAAAAAAAAAAAAAAAAAAAAAAAAAACACTTAGGGGTGAAAAAAAAAAAAAAATGCAAAAACACCCAGGAGTAAACGGAGTCCAGAAACCACAAAACTGCAGGTTATGAAAATCGTGTGCACAAGAGTCCCGTCCTGGCTTTCTAATCTGCGGGGTCAGGTGATGCTTTCTCCCTCAAAATATAAAATGATGCTTTGTGTTTTAGGTTTTGGGGGTGAAATATATAACAGTTGTTCTAAATGTCGCTTGGAGAAATGGAAAGCAGGGCCAGACGATTTTTCAAAAGAAAAATACTGAAGGGAGTCTTGCTTTACATATGAACATGTAATGCAAAGATTTGCTGCCTGCGATCTGTCAGGCAAAGTCCTTTTTAAAAGGTTAGGTTGGAAACAACAACGTCAAAGTCAAAACATGTTCTTTGTATGTCTGTGCAGCGGGGACGTGCGAGCTTCCTGTTTCCTCTTTGTAATGGCAGCAGAGACAGCGTGTTTCAAATGGGGGAAATAAATATTCAGTCTCTGGGTTTGGACCGCTAATAAAGCAATACAGATAATTCCTGCCATTGGCAAGTTCATCGTCGTAATGATATTTTTGGTTGCTGTATTATTTTTTTAGGATTACCTATCCCTTTGCGTGCTCCAGTTCAAAGAAAAACAGTCCTTTGGAATTTCTGAAGCTCTTGGAGGAATACATTTAGTTTTTCTAAATTAAATCCTACTCTTTTGAAAACTTATAACCACGTGTCATAAAACTCAACCACGTGGCTGAGACCTAGCCAGTTATTAGGTGAGATCTTTGAAGTTCATGATGTCTTGTAGTTTCGGGGAGAGGAGACAGAAAGGATGGACCCTTATGTTTGGTTGCTAGCCTTCCCCCACGTCACTGAAGAAACGGGTTACCCTTCATTAACCAGGATCGTAGGTTATCCAGAAACTCTTCCCCTCTTGGGCTGCTTCAGTTAACTGAAAATTAGCTCTCTTCTCAGGTCAGTAGAAGATGATGACGATTGTGAACATTTACTGAGCACCTGTTCTGTGACCGCCGTTGTTGTGAGAATTTTCCAGTTTACCGGCACCACACACTGGTGAATGCTGCCTGTTTCTGAAATGGGGAAAGTGAGTCACAGAGGGTTTGAGTAGCTTGCCCAAGGTCACAGAATGAGGAAGTGGCAGGCCCAGGATTTGAATCCACACAGCCCGACTCTGGAAGTTTCTCCATCAACCACTCCCTATGCTTCCTTCCTTTCTCTGTTTTATTAGTAATCTTGGCCCCTCTGTCGATCATTTGATTTTTTTTTTCTAGTCTCTAGAACAGATGGATGGACCTTTGATACGTGATTTAGTACTGAGCACAGAGGGAATGACCAGAAGCAGCATGGCCCTAGTGTGACCTTCCACGAAACACCTGTAGTGTGGGGCGGAGCCTTGCCAGTGCAGATGGTCACATTGTCCTCTGTCTCCGCCTCCCTCTCCTGCACCCAGCCCTGAGTCCAGTCAGGGTGGCAGGCAGCCCCCCCTACCCTCTCTGGATCTTAGAGGCCAGGGAGGCAGTTCTGAGGCTCCTTCCCCGGCTCTGTCCCCGTTGCCGCCCCGCCCCGCCGCGGCGCCCCCCCCCGCACTTAGCCAAGAAGCACTTTGTGAACCATCCCAGTAGGCTCCACTGGCATCACTTCTGGAAACATCTTCCAGCTGTCCCTCTTCCCTCACTCTTGTCCGCACTTATTGCGGACAGAGGCGTGCCCTGTGCCCCCAGTGAGGAATCATAGCGGACGTGCCCTGTAATTGCATTAGGATAATCTATCCCGGCCAGGGAGCCCCCACCGTGGGCCTGGCTCTGTTGACCAGTGGGGTCTATTAGGGCCTGGAGCCTGGCCAGAGGCCACATTATAGCTCACTTACGCACTATGGATTTGTCTCGGACTCCTTAATGAGGCCAGGGACTTGGTTTTCCTGCACATGTTTGCTTATTTTCCTGCTCTAACAGGCTGCCAGCCTGCGGGGCTGTATAAAATGTTCACTAATAGCTCGTGATTCAGGGGGTTGGCATTTCTCACAGTCACCACGGCTTGGCGGCCGTTTTCCTCCAATGCTCTCGAAATAACCAGAGAACGCTCTACCCTTTTCTTAAAGTTGTAGGAGTCTGTTCCCTAAAAATGTTCTTTTTAGAGCTTTTGAGGAAATTTCTGGCGTCTCCTCAGCAGAGTTTGTTTGTGCCTCTGTCCTTTGAGTCCTGTGAGCTGCATTGGCACAGGGCAGGACTCTGTGTGTGTCAGGAGAGGTGTCTGTTAATTAAGGTGTGAATTAAATGACAGTGCCTCAACTGTGCCTGTAAGACTCTGTGCTGGACACTCGGGCGGAGAAGGTGACACATTGCTTTGCCTTCCGGGAGCCAGCCATTGAGAGGACGACTGAGTTCTTCCCCGGAAGAAGCTTCATTGTGGGAGAGCCCTGGAGGGGCGTTTTGATGGAAGTCACCAGAAGATGTTGAATATGCTTTCATTGATACGTTCTGGAGGGTCTGTCTGCCGGATTTGTTCTTTTGAAAATGTGTGTGAAATACTGATGTGTTAGGCGTGGCAGGAAGGTCTAAGCAGCTTGCAGGGATGATGGGCGCCTGGGCTCCATCGAGCCTCCCCACTGGTGAGCTGTGTGCCTTTGGACAAGACACTCTGCCTGCACTCCAGTGCTCTTACCTCTGAGCCGGATGCTTATTGTTGGCCCTGTGTGGGGCGGGATGGGGGTGCTAGGAGGGCTTCATGAGGGTCAGAGCCACGCTCGGTGCCCAGACTTAGCCAGGGCCGGTGACCCCACAGACCCCCTCAGGTGACTGGTGCCCGTTCCTCGGTAACCATAGCCTCCCCGTCAGGGTCCTGAATTCAGTCAGAGTTTGGCGACCGTTTGGATTTCCTGAGAGAGGAACAAAAGCATTCTCTCTGAGGGATGGGGGAAGCTATTTCTTTCCCCCAGGGGATTTTCTTTATCCCGAACACCCCCAGCCCCCTGCCCTGCCTTGTCACTGAGTTCTCTGCTGACCCGGACTCCTCCTGGAACCTAAAACGCTTGGTCATGAGGATGTGGGATTAACGGGTTGGTGTCCCGTTTCCTGGCTTCTGCCCCGAGTGGACGGGCTGGGGCTCTGGACTGGGCCCCTCATCTTCCTGAGTGAGTACCTCAGTCCCTGCTTCGGTGGCAGACCCCCTCCCCTGCCGCATACACCTTGAGTGGGATCCCGTTCGCCCTTGTCTTTGCTTTTTTCCTCTGGGGGGGGGGCTCTTCCTTGGCCATCCCCCACCTGCCCACGGGGTTCTCGCACTTACGGGGATCACCACATTTGAATCGGTGGAAATAGAACTTGGCGCTGGTTTGCCTGAACCACTGAGTCCCTGCTTGGATCTGGCATCTCTCCTCTGTTTTTGTGCCCAGCTCCCAGTGGTAATATCAGTATTTCCAAGTGGGCCCAGCTTCTGGTTGCCCTTTGCCATATACAGTGTGTTTCTTGGAACTGACGTTAGTGACTTCACACATTGCTCTAGCAACCAAGACAACTGTTGTGGCCACAGCGGCCAGCGTCCTCGGGGTCTCTCTGAGTGACGGACGTCCCGGTGCTCACCTGTCCCAGCACGCCGGGTGATTCGGGCCCAGAGCCTGACACCCCGTTCTCCCCCAGGGCTCTGAGTTGTGTGCGTGAATGACAGCTTACTGAAGACACTGCAGTTTTAGACTTCTGCATGTGGCCAAAGGAATCACCCGATCAAGTGCCTTTTGCTGTTTCGTTAAAGGAGAGACCAGGATGCTTCTCTGGATGACACGGTGGAGAGGTGGTCTGCAGCCTGTCCTTTTTCTCTTCTACCTGCACGCTTTCCATCTCTTGTTTTCCCTTTTCTCTCCAGGATGTCCCCAGGACACCCAGTGTAAAAACCATAAATGCATTCTGGCTGCCTTATTTACAAACCAGTGTCAGTCCTTGCTTTGCTCTTAGTCGACCCCCAACGTGTGACTCCAGAAAGACCCCTGTGGGAGTTATGATTATTCTGGGGCCCTTTAGCCCTGGGGAGATCTGCCGTGCATGGGCCTGTCCCCGCTTCCCAGACAAGCCAGACCCCTGATCCCCATTCCTAGGCCCACATCTCTCTTCTCCTCCTCTTCCTTGTCCTGGGCTTGGAAGGGCTTTCTAGAATGTCTGTAGCCCTCACCCCACATTATGTTCATTGCTCTATCCAGCCAGGCCCACTGAGGTGGGCTTCGATCCCTATGGTGCAGTATCTTCAGACACAAGTCCTGTGACACTGGGACACTGTGGTCATGGACCAGATACTACATACTATGGCTTACAGCAGCACTTCTCACTCTTTTATTTCCTGATGAATTTTTTTTAATTTTTACAGAGCCTTACTAGAAGGAGAAAGTAATCCAGAGATACTGATCTTGACTGAGCGCATTGAAAACGTGCCACAAGGTAAATATAAGAAAAGCTAAATATTTAATTGTAGGGTGTTTTCTATATGAACAGGTTGATTCCATGGTTAAATAGTAAGGCATCACTTGTCAGGAAGAATTTGGGATTAGGTATGATTTTTTTTTTTTTTTCAGATAAGTGTCATTCATGCCTCTCTTAAGTACCAGCCAGATTTTATTTGATAGGCTGTGGTTTAAATAGCAATGTACGTGTGAATGCATGGGACAGTGTTTAGTAAGCTCATTTATTCATCTGGCCAATACTTTGGGGGCGTTTCCTACCCAGTGTGGTGAGTGGGGAGGAGGGGGGTGCTGATGGAGAGGCGGGAAGGGTGAAGGGCGAGGAGACAGTGGACGTGGACTTGTTTGTCATACCCTTCAGAAGGAACACCCTTTACGGACCAAAGACTTACAGGTTGTTTTTTTCTCCCCACCACTTCTGGATATATTTCTTTTTTTTATTTTTTATTTATTTTTTTTCCCTTTTATTTTTTGATTTTTTTTCAATATGAAATTTATCGTCAAATTGGTTTCCATACAACACCCAGTGCTCATCCCAACAGGTGCCCTCCTCAAAATGCGTCACCACCCCTCCCCCTCCCCCCATCAACCCTCAGTTTGTTCTCAGTATTTAAGAGTCTCTTATTGTTTGCTTCCTTCTGTCTCTGTAACTTTTTTTCCTCCCCTTCCCCTCCCCCCGGTCTTCTGTTAAGTTTCTTAGGATCTACATATGAGTGAAAACATATGGTATCTGTCTTTCTCTGCCTTATTTCACTTAGCATAACACTTTCCAGTTCCATCCACGTTGCTACAAAAAGCCATATTTCATTCTTTCTCATTGCCACGTAGTATTCCATTCTGTATATAAACCACAATTTCCTTATCCATTCATCAGTTGATGGACATTTAGGCTCTTTCCATAATTTGGCTATTGTTGAGAGTGCTGCTATAAACATTGGGGTACAAGTGCCCCTATGCATCAGCACTCCTGTATCCCTTGGGGAAATTCCTAGCAGTGCTGTTGCTGGGTCATAGGGTAGATCTTACAGTTTTAACACAAGTATCAGGAGGTATTACTTTGTACGGCAAGTAGTCTGCTCTCTGGAACTCGCTGGCCCATGGGGGCAGAGGTGGGAACGGTTATACCGTTTGTATTACTGAGCTGCATTGGCCCGGGCAGCTCAGATTGACATGGGTAGCAGGTGTCACTGGGTGCCCTAAGGTCTGTCTTGATTGAGGCCAAAAGCTACAGAATAAAGGTCATATTTCCTGTAGCTACGGAACCAATGAACAGGTTAGTGTTCACTAGAAAGACCCTAAGAAACCTGCAGGATAACTTTAAAAAGGAAAAAAAAAAAAAAAGCTTAAAAGCCGTATAGAATCTTAAAGGGCTTTCTGGCTAAGCAAGGCAGATTAAATTACTTACAGTATGTTTAGTATATACTTTATTCAGCAGAGTTTCGGTCTGCATGAGTATTACCATATTCAAAATCATGGCAAATTGGGAATGCATATATTTGGTACATCTGTCAGGAGAATATTTAGTTAACTGCCAGTCTGGATAGATGGCATATTAAAAAAAAAAAACACAATAGTTTCCATCTTTATTTTTCAAAAACAGCAGGCAATTCACAGATTTGAAAGGTCACTGATTCAGAACAATAATTTTGGTTTCAGGTGTCTGTGACTGGTAGGAATTGGGTCTTAGACAATATCCAGTAAGTTTACTTACTGATTTTGAGAGTAAGGTTGAAAAAAAGCAAAGATGTTATTCACCAGATTTCAAGGTTTACTTCAGTCACTTAGATTTTTTACGTGAGGCTATTTAAGTCTGAAAGTCCATCACATCACTTAGAAGGGAGAGAGGAGAAAAGGGCTGGGGCCACACTTTGAGGAGAACCACCAGTTGAGGGCCAGGGCTTGCTAATCTTTGACTAGCTGAGTTCTTGGAGCCTAGGGAGAACTCAGCAGGAGGGTTACTGGGGGCCTCTGTTAACTTGTTTCATTCACTGATTGTTTCATCTGGCTTGTTAAAGGATACAGAGACAGTATTTGTAAACTAAATCTATTTTAGCAGTTATGGATTAGGCTAAAAGAAAGTAGCATTAGAATAAAGAGGACCAATTGTGAACTCTTTTAATAGGCTTTGAGTTTCCAGATAGTTGTGTGTCCTGTGTGATATACATGCAGTTAACTGTTCACTGAATAAATGTACGGATGTGTTCTTAGATAGTGAATTTATCAATACTTATGAATACACTTATGTTTCTTTTGTAATATTGTATAGAATAATTCTGGCCACTTGCCCACACTCGGTTGACAGCCTAAAACCAGTCTGTCATCTTCCATATTTCTTGGTGAACCTTAATTAAAGACCAGATGGTTCTTGCAGTTTCCCAGGGATTCATCTTCTGGGGCTTCTCTGTTTAAGATCAGTATATTGACCTGAAAGGAGGAATCTTGGAGAAAATGTCCTGGCCTGGTCTTTCTCTTGTACCCTGAGCTCTGTCCTAAAGAGGCCCCTGGCTTTGGCTGATGTGACAGGGAGATCAAGGGTGGAGAGTGGGCTTTGCTAGGCTCAGCCGGATGGGGTGTGGTGGGCACAAGGGGGCGCTCTCAGGGTGGACTGTGCTCTTGACCACATTCTAACCCACCAGCTGCTATGCCTGAGAGCAGGTACCCACCTGGAGTTTGGACATCCCCGAGGGTAAGCACCCTCTGTGGACCATCCGGAGCAAAGCAAGAAGCCCAGGATCAGGACATTAAAACAGACCGTAGTGTTGGTGTCTGGTCAGCTTCCTGCTCTGGCTCCCTTTCAAATGGACAGTTTGTAAAGAAAGAAAATAGAAGTATAAAAATAGAAGAAGCCAGGGAGCTTTAGAAAAAGTTAACCTCGTCAATACTTGTTGGCCCAACATGGAAACCAGTGACAAATCAGAGCGTATTAAATGGGAGAGAGAGAATGCCAGTTAGCGTGGAGTGATCTTGTACTTTGTAATTATGAAGCGCTCTTCTGCACGGAAATAAGTAAAATAAACTCAGGCTGTCAACAAAGCAGCAATGCGTGTTTCCAAACTATCATGGTACTGTGAAATTTAATCCACAGAGACTAGCACCCAGCCTCTCGAATGCACACGCCGAGCTGCGCGAGCTCACGTTTGCTGATGTTTGTGAAGGTGGATGATATTTGAAGATCGGCAACAAGAGCAAAGTGTTGTGCTGTGGCATGCATAGCGCTACATTTTACTGTAACGGGTTTTTTTTTTTTTAAACTACCAAAATCAATGATTTGGGGGTGGAAAATAGCTCATTTGTAAATGCCCTTTCTGCCATAATAGTTTGCATTTATGATGATGGGATGGGATTTGACCTGTAGTGATGCTTTTAAGATGAGAGAGGTAATGATGACTGTCGTTTTCTGCAGAGTTCAGAAAAACATCCTATCGGTACGCCAGCACGGTGCTGCAGAGGGAAAATGAACGAAATCTGTTTCCCAGGCGGAAAGCACCTCCGGCCGGCTTCAGCCACAGCCTGGCGCAGCGCTCTCGCCTGTCGGCAAAGCCCGGAGCTCGGCCCGCCGTCCCAGGTGCTGCGGGCAGTGCCTTCCTAGGCTCGGGATATTCTTCCCTAACCGTTACCCGGTGGGAGAAAACTGACGGCAAAACTGCCGACTCTCAGGAAAGACCTGCCAACAGCCAAGCCAGCGTCAGAACTTTCTCTCCAGTGCCCGGTCTTTTAAGGGATACTGAGGCTCCAGCGAAAACATTCCCCGAAAGACCGAGAACCGCGGGTACAAAGGCCGCCTCTGCTAATGTAGCCAGAGAGCCCGCCCTTGCCCAAAAGCCCTATCGGGACAATGTGTCGGCAGGTGCTTCCAAAAGCACGTGGTCAAGTGAGAGAACCGTCCTTGTGGAAAAGAAGACGGGGGCTAACGTCACGAGAGAGCAGGAGAGAAACAGGCCAGGTGCCATCCAAACAAAGTGGGAAGAGAAGGTGTTTGATTCCAAAGAGAAGGCTTCAGAGGAGAGGAACCTAAGGTGGGAAGAGCTGACAAAGTTAGATAAAGAAGCGAGAAAAAGAGAAAGCCAGCAAATGAGGGAAAAGGAGAGAGGGAAGGAGTCGGCGAAGGAGAAGAGCGTTCGAGAAAGAGAGGTACCGATCAGTCTAGAAGTCTCCCAGGACAGCACACCAGGGGTGGCCCCGAAAGGTTTGCAGACTCCCCTCCAGGGGGATGCTCGTGACGGTGCAGGCAGAGGCATGGAAAAGAGGGAGGCCAGCTTCAGGCTGGACCGCGGCGACACCACCAGCTCCCCGAAGGGTGACTCCACGACTGAAACCATAGCCGAAAACATCGTCTCCAGTATCCTGAAGCAGTTTACCCAGTCTCCTGATACAGAGACATCTGCTAATTCTTTTCCGGACACGAAGGTCACTTACATGGACAGGAAGGAGCTTCCCGGCGACAGGAAAACAAAGACTGAGATAGTCGTGGAGTCGAAACTGACCGAAGAGGTGGATATTTCAGACGAGGCTGGCCTGGACTATCTTCTGAGCAAGGATGTTAAGGAGGTGGACCTGAAAGGAAAATCGGCTGAGCGGATGATAGGAGACATAATCAACCTTGGTCTGAAAGGAAGAGAGGGGAGGGCAAGGGTGGTCAACGTGGAGATCATTGAGGAGCCCGTGAGCTATGTCGCTGGTGAGAAGGCGGATGAGTTTTCTACCCCCTTCGAAGTGGAGGAGGTTGATGATGTGTCTCCGGGCTCCAAGGGGCTGGCTGAGGAGGAAGAAGGTTATGGAGAAACAGACGTCATGTTCTCAGGCAATCAGCATAAAAAGACCAAGCGGCCCCAAGAGAATGTAACTCACGTTGAAGAAGTAATGGAGGCGGGTGACTCAGAGGGAGAGCAGAGTTATTTTGTGTCGACCCCAGATGAGCACCCTGCGGGGCAGGACAGAGACGAGGGCTCGGTGTATGGGCAGATCCACATTGAAGAAGAGTCCACCATCAGGTACTCTTGGCAAGATGAAATCGTGCCAGGGACTCGGAGAAGAATAAAGACAGATGATGGGCTGGGGGAGAAGGTGGTGAAGCCGTCGGACATCTCAGAACCTTCTGCGGAGGAGGAGGTGGGTTATACTCACTGGAAGGAACAAGCTAGAAGTGGTGAATTTCATGCTGAGCCCACAGTCATCGAGAAGGAGATTAAGATACCACCTGAGTTCCACATGTCCATTAAGGGATCCTTCAAGGAGCCCAGACACCAGCTGGTGGAGGTTATCGGGCAGCTGGAAGAGAGCCTTCCGGAGCGCATGAAGGAAGAGCTGTCTGCTCTCACCAGAGAGGGTCAGGGCGGGCCCGAGAACGTTTCGGTCGACGTAAAGAAAGTCCACACCTCCGGGGGTAGGTCCGTGACCTTGGTTGCCGAAGTCAACCTCTCGAGAACCGTGGATGCCGATCAGTTAGACCTGGAGGAGCTGAGCAAAGACGAAGCCAGTGAAATCGAGAAAACCGTGGAGTCAGTGGTACGAGACAGTTTGGCCAGGCGGCACAGCCCGGCGCCTGGAAGCCCAGACGGGGAGACCGCAGAGGAGCCCCCGGCTGCCGGCTTTCGCTTCAAGCGCTGGGCCACCCAGGAACTGTACCGCCCCGGCGGTGAGGAGGGCGATGCCAGCCGGGCCTCTCAGGGCACAGAGCAGGTCGCTTCCCCAGGTCCGGTGTCAGCCACGGTAGAAGTCACCAGCCCAAGGGGCTTTGCCCAGTCACACGTGGTAGAGGACGTAAGCCGGTCTGTCAGGCGTGTTAAAGTAGACCCCACTGGGATTTGGAGGACTGAGCAAGTCTCACGAGAAGGACCCACTGCACAAGTGGTGGAGGTAAGTGGGGAAGGGGACCTAAGTCCGGCCCTGAGCTCGCCAGGAGCCACCTGGTCTGTGAGGCACTTCACCCTGAGTCCTGATCAAAGTCAAGTGTCCCAGGAAGTCTTCTTCCAAAGGTCTGTCCCTGCCTTTCGGGAGGCAGGGGGCACAGAAGAGCCTGGCCTGTCCACAGATATGGACACAGCGGGGAGGCGCAGTGTGTTTGGCTCTGAACAATTTCATGCTGAAAGGGAAATTGCTTTTCAGGGCCCCATTTCTGGGTCGGGGAAGGTTGGCGATTATTTTCAAACAGAAGAGTCAGTACCCAGACTTCTGTAAAGGACCTTCAGGTGGGCCCCAGAGAGGGGTTCGGGGAGCAGATCCAGTTCAGAGCCCCCCTTTCAGACAGAAGGGCGTTGAGTATCAGGGAAGCTTCCGTGAGCACTGAAGAGTGGTCAGGGGACGGCACATCCGTCAGGCAGGTCACGGTCTGGGCTCAGCAGCATCAGACCACTGAGCACATAGTTCCCCTGCCCCGGGAATTCAGCCTCTCAGAAAGCAGTGCCCATGGAGAGGGCTCGCAGACGTGAGCCAGGCTGCGCGTAGTTCCGCTGTGGGTGGGAGGATCCTGATGACCGGAAAGAGCACCTTCCAAAGTGCCAGTTCCCAGTGGCCTCAGGAGGCCAGTGTGGGAGATGCACGAGGGGCAGAGGAGACACCAGGCATGAGCAGAGCCTTTAGGCACATTTGTCTGGGTCCCGCAGAGACCACAGCCTCTGAACGGGTTGTCTTCCACGAGCCCGTTTCCAAATCGCTTGCACCTGCCGGTTCAGCGGGCTCCCCTGAGCTAGGCGAGTTGGCAGACGGCAGCGGGGTGCTCAGGCACGTGGCACGGGGCCCCAAAGACTCTCCGTTTACCTTTCAGATGGACATAAGTCACGTGGAGGCGAGCCCCCGCTGGACGCAAGACACCACGGTCTTCTTCCCCGCAGGGACGGAAGCGGCGGCTCGTGGTGCCCCTGACCGTGGTGCCTGGAGAGACGGGGGCAGTGGGAATGCCTGGGTGGCCAGCGTGAGCTTTCAGGGCTCTTCCGGGGATGGACACCAGGTCCCTGGGGAACAGGGCAAGGCGCAGGCTGAGTTTGACAGGACGGTGCAGCTACAGAGGATGGTAGACCAAAGGTCGGTGATTTCGGATGAAAAGAAAGTTGCCCTCCTCTATCTAGACAATCAGGAGGAGGACAAGGAGGGCCACTGGTTTTGAGAAGCAAATATTTTGTTTTCAGTGGTGTCTTAGCCAGTAACAACACAGTAACACACAGAGGCCTTTACTTCTTTGAAGGAGGGAGGCTCAGTCTTTATGAAGACCTCCCCACTTTTCTTACTTTCTCCACCGAGCGCTCCGGGCGATGTCACTTTATCATCTGTAAAGGTGTCAAATTAATTCATGCCTTCGAAGGCATTTGAATTTTACTTTTGAGTTGGAACTTTGACACAAATATTTTTTATCTTTTTAGTCTTAAAAGTTCCTTTTTCTGGAGTTTTCTCTCCACTGCTTGAGACAGTTTCGACCAATTTTGCTCCTGGTCACGGAAATGCCTCACATCTGTTTGAAGTTATAATCAACTCTCTATAGGGAAAATGCCTAAACGGTAACGGTATAGTAAGATGCCTATATGATAACAAGATTAAAGTAATATATTTAAGAGTAAATTTTATTTGCATGTGCTAATATGAAATAATCAACTAACATTTAAAAGGAAAAATGCGTACATTTGTCACTTTTCCAAGTCTTCTCAAAAAGAAATCCTAGGAAAGAAGCAGATTGCTTCCATAAAAGATAAAAGTGGAAAAAAAAAAAAACCTAAATGGTTCTAAATTTAGGAAAAAGTTAAGTTCACTTTGAGACTTGAATGAATTGCTTTCTATGTGCAGAACTCCAAAAAATATATAGTATTTTTGTTTATGGAGAGGCCAGCTTCAGCCCATTTGATATTCCAAGTCCACACGCTTGCTATGTTCGTGTAAATTCTTAGAAGCCCACCCTGGGCTTGTGTGTAGGGAAAGTGACTGTTGGGAATGGGTTATTGTATTTCCTTTCTCACAGCACTGGGTTGTTAAGTAGCATACAGTCTAAGTATTCTTGTTTGTTACAACCTAAGTTCTGGAGTAGCCAGCTCCCGCCAGAGTGTTAAGCTTCTCCACACCTTAACCCTTAGCCCTGTCTACACATTTAATTTTACTGGCGGGAGGCAGACCCCGAAGACAGTAAAGAGAATGCTGATGATGCTCAAGCTAGAGCCTGGCTTGCCAGATGATCCTGTGCCGTGACATTGGAAGCACAGGGTGGACTGTGCCTCCCAGAGAAGGCCTTGCAACGCACCGCTAAAGGGACCGAAGTCTGGGTGATGCAAAATGACAACCAACTTCGAGGACGTTTTTGCATTTTTTTTTTTTAACGTTTATTTATTTTTGAGACAGAGAGAGACAGGGCATGAACAGGGGAGGGGCAGAGAGAGAGGGAGACACAGAATCTGAAACAGGCTCCAGGCTCCGAGCTGTCAGCACAGAGCCCAACACGGGGCTCGAACTCACGGACCGTGAGATCATGACCTGAGCCGAAGTCGGACGCTTAACCGACCAAGCCACCCAGGCGCCCCTGTTTTTGCATTTTCAACAGAAATCATTACAGCTGGGGTGTTTTGCCCAGGGAAGAGAATACTAATGTTACATAGGATAAGATGTTTTGTGGGAGGGACTGGGTGCCTCTCCTGCTGCCCAGCACCCAGGAGGGGCCCTGGAGGAAGGCAAAGGCCCCACCCTCGCGGGCCACGGCATGCCGACGTGCAGGTACATACCGTGAAGTTGAAGGTACTAGAAAGAGTGTGCTTTACTGGGTTTGTTTTATTTTACATAAGGGTATTGCTTTTAAGGCTTCGTCTTTAAAGGTAGTGGCACACAGAAATTACCTCTCCAGCAGCACAGTATTATTTTAATCCAAACTAGTTGCTTGCACATAACATTGTTTAAACTGTACTTCCGGTAACAAAGAATCCTAGAGCTGCCAGTAGGACACTGAGGAATAGTGATTGGAGGTAATGCCATCCTCTAGTGGGTTATGATGTTGGGGGTGGTGGTTATGGCATGAGGGTCTTCCCTCGGTGGGGGGAGGGGGGGATGTCACACAGTGGCCCTCAGCTCCTAGAAATGGCTACAGCAGGTAGTTTAGGGAGAGTGCATTTTCTTAATAAGTGGAGGAGAAATGCAGCCAAGCTTTCAGGATGATCCATTTTACAAACACTGTGAATCGGGGTATAGAAAAAGTTGAACTGCAAGTCTAAACCTTTGTTATCTTCCAAATGCACTAGTAATTGTCACAGACTGGTACAGAGGTGATGGCTTGGCAAACAAAGCCTTCTTGTTTCTCATATAGTCAAAGATGGGCGATTTTATGTTAGCTGTAATTGGTAATGGTATTTGTAGAAGTGATTTATTGGTCAAGGTGACAGCCTACTGTTTTGATGGCGACACAGACTGAGGATGGGGAGTCTGTTATGTGAGTCTGAGTGGGCTTACTTTAATGTCCCTCTCCTGCCTTGTGATCTTGTAAATGAGTGCTAACGGGGACAGATTATTAATATCATGACCCACCTCTCTTTGGAAAATATCTTAGGTCTTAATTTATATTTCCATGTTAGAACACATGTCTTCAAGAAGCATCCTGCCAAGAGTACTTACCAATATGGACTCCTGAGCTGTCTTTGGTTACTCAGTCTCTGGATCACCCAGGAGCAGGCATGCCCTCCACACTGTGAAGGTCGCCTGAAAGTTCTGTGTCCTTTAAAACCAGTCGCTCTGGAGACCATAGAAATCAACTTTGTGGGTTGGGACAGAACCAATTTTTGCTGTTGTATAGACAAAACAGTATTAATGGAATGTTTTTCACCTTCCCACTGGTTGTTTTGATATCATTTGTTTCAAATGTATATTTAGAATGGAATCACTTACAAAGCTCATCTTTCTAAGCTCCTGTTCCCTACGAAGGGAAATGTCACAAGAATGTATAAAAATAAAAATCTAAGAAAAAAAAAAAAAAAAACCTCCACATTGTTCCTAAAGAGAATGAATGTTTTCCAGTAGGTGTTTTTGTGGTTTCTATTTAAGCTCTAATTAAAGCATCTATGTGTTTTACATGCATGATTTTTTTTTTTTTTTAATGGTGGCACGGAATCACTGGGGAGAATATGTATGGAAAGTTCTGGCTCTTTACCCAAATCAGAACTTGATACTGTTAACACAAAACTACAAAGCGTAGCAGACAGAGCAAAAACCAGCTGGCTCATATTCAAATATAGACTGGACAGTTTGTGGTAAGAATGTGGTCATCACAGCCTGGAAGGCTAGTGTCAGTAGGGTGACCAGCCATCCTGTTTTGCCTGGGATGGAGGGGTCCCCCGGGACACGGTTTCAGTGCTAAAACCAGGACCGTCCTCGGCACACCAAAATGGTTACTTTGAGTGCAAATCGGAGTGGTTAGTTAATCCTGGCTGTTTCTTAGGTGCTTGAAAAACTTGCAGTAGAATGAGACAAAGGAATAGTTATTAGGTACCCTTACCTGTCTAACTTTTTACCACCCCCTCCCCATGAATATCTATAGTCTTCCTCTCGTGTTGAAGTTCACACATTTAATAGATGGGAGACATTTGGGTGGGACATTCCTATATTCATTCTTTCCTTGGGGTGGGGTTTAAATTTTTTAAAATATATTTTAGTTTCTGTGATTGCAAGATACTATTCTCCAAGAAAGAGAGGAAGAAGTAACCTCAGAATTCACTTTTTTCCCCCAAAGCCTAGCATGGCTGTCTGCTCAGGCTGCTATGACAGCGTACTGCAGCCTGGGAGGCTTTAACCACGGACATTTCTCTCTCCCAGTTCTGGAGGCTGGAAGTGAAGGATCAAGATGCTGGTAGATTCGACGCCCGGTTGCGGCTCTCTGCCTGGTTTGCAGACTGTCTTCTTGCTGCGACCTAACGTGGTGGAGAGAGCGATCTTCTGTCTCGTGTCTCTTCTAATCAGGGCACTAATCCCATTCACGGGGCTCTCGTCTCCCAGAGGCCCCACCTCCTAATACATTCACACTGGGGATTAGGGCTTCGTGAATTTTGGAGGTACACACACATTCAGTCCCTGGCAGACTCCAACGTGGTAAATATTTAAAATACTTTTTCTATCCATGTCGGAACCTGTGTCTTCCGACTAGATGGGATACCCGGTGAGTAGTGACTGTGTCTCATGCCTCCAGCTTGCACATGGCCTTCATCCCACCTGGGATGAGTGGGTACGAGTGGGGGTGGCCTGTGTGGTCAGCTGCCATAGCTTCCAAGGGGGACAAGGGACCTTGCCTCTCTCTCTCCACCCTGCACAAATGGAACCAGAGCACCTACTGGGCACTGGAGTAGAAGGGGCCCGTGCTGCGTCCTGCTGGCATCTTAGCACCAGCCTACAGCCTTGCTGGGCCTCAGTTCGTGGGATGAGGGTGGGAAGGAGAAGGAACAATGCTGCCCACAGCCCATCCCGCCCACTGTGTACTCTCCCTCCTTCCAGCACCCAGTCTCCTGTGGACACCATGGAGAAAGGTGCTCAAAACTTCCCACTCTGCTCTTCCCTTCTCAAGGGGCAATGGCCTCCCCCGCAGGAGACTGAAGACCACTGTGGACGTGAGTGCTCGTCCACTCCACCCTCCCTACCTCACATGCTGAACCCGGGGAAATAGCTGGGAGAGCAGGGGGCCAAGGGCTGTGCCGCCTCCAAAAAGAACCTCCAGAGGGCAGCCATGTTTCTCCTGCCTGGAGTAGAGGCCCCAGGAGTCAGCCGCCCTCTCCTGCAGCTCTTCCCCGCTGGCCTCACCCCTACTCCTCTGTCTTCATTCCCTTACACCCGCCTCCCCTGACCTCCAGCCCGTTTACTCCCATTACTCCCTGCCCTGCTGTACTGGGCTCTTTCCCTCTGTTACCAACTCGTTCTACCACTTTATGTTTAGTAATTAGCATCCATGTTGGCTGGCAAGGTCTGAGAGGATGGGGACAGTGTGTCCTGTTTACTGTCTGGTCCCCAGTTCGTAGCACTGGCCTGGTGCACGCAGGGTGCTCAGCCACGTTCAGTGGCTGTAGGAGTAAAGAGAAGCTTCCTCGAATCCCTCTCTAGGCTCCAGGAACTCTGAGGCAGCCTGCATTTGAAAAACATACCAACCCCAGCACCTCCAAGATTCTTCTTAGCGTTTTATGCTGCATCCCTATTATCTTCCTACAAGAAAGAATGGGCTTTGGCCAGCATTTGCTCTCAGACTCCAGATCTATGTGAGGGGCATTCATAGGTACGGCCAGATGTTGGGTCCACTTCCATACACAGGAAGTTTGAAACTTTTGAAGAGAAGCCTTTCAGCCACAGTCGTGCTGCTGGGTAGAAAGTTTTGTTGCAAGGGAAACCACTTGGACGGTGAAAAAGAAATCTGCTTTACAGAAGCACCAGATCACCCTGGAGGGCATCCGCTGTCAAAACGCGACATCTCTGTTGCATGCTGGAGCAAACAGCCCGGAAAAATCTGTCGAATCCCATCTTCTAGTCGGAGAGGTTTATACTGCACCCCAAATGTCAGCACCCGGGCCCGACCCAAGCTTTCTTTGGGGGAGGGGTGGGGCTCTCAGTCCGCTGCGCTGGGCTGCACCTTCCCCGGCACGCCGGTGAAGAAGGCCGGTTTGGCTTTCGGGGCCTGCCGGGTCTTCGCGGCCACCTCGGGGGCCCTGCAAACAAGCAGAAAGTGGGGTGAGCGTGCTGCCCCCGGACCACTGTTGCTCTGAAGAGAAGCCCAGGGGCTGCTGAGCTAACAGCTGGCGAAGGAGTCTGGGGAGGGAAGGCCAAGGAGAAGAGAATCCTGGCACAGCAACCTAAATCCCAAGGTTTTTTTCTCCCGTGTTCTAATTCCTTGCGACCATTTTCTCCCTGAGCTGAGAGGGTCAACCCTTCGCTGGCTCAGCGAGCAGATCACAAGCACAAAGGTTGGGCTGGAGGCCCTGGCGGGCTCAGCGTTCAACGTTGCCTCCGGCTCGGGCCGGCGGCTCTGAGAGAGCGCCCCCTGCCGGCTGTCTCCTCGCCTTCGGTGCTTCCATGATCCTTCCTTGGCGGTCAGCCCACAGGCTCTGGGCCACACTGGCTCTGTGAGGGGCGGCTTCTCCATAGCAGGGAGTGGAAAGACCTGGGGCCAGCCTTCAAGGTGAAGTCAGAGGGCTCTCAGGCCGCCGTCCTGACAGGCACGCTGAAAGCAAAGGGAAGCCAAAGGCAGGCCTCCAGCAGGCCACGCCAGGGCACTGTGCCCTCGCCTGCCAGCAGGGGAGGTGACCCGCAGGCCCTGGTCTGCAGGAGGGAGAGTCCCAGTGTGTTTCTGCCATTATTCAAGAGCCAATCTTTTCTTAGTATCTGGGCAAGGGGGATATTTGACAGCTGGGCTTTCAAAGGAATCACTGGTGTTGCATAGTTTATGAGTTATGGGAAGTCAGTTAGTAAAACTTTCCATGGAAAGTTCCACAGAACCTTACAGAACCAGCTTCCTCTGAGATCTGAATGGCAAAGGAAACAGTGCAAGGGGAAGCCAACTCACTTGGACAGGACGTCCACTGTCTGCTGGGTGGCCAGAGTCCTTTTGTCCTGTGCTCCATATAAGAGGGTCTGAATCTGAAGACACTGCAGAACACCAAGTAGTAATCATGAGGTTATAAAAATGTCACTGAGAGCATTTTGCAGGAAAATGAAGTCTCCCTTGAATGAAATAAAGCATACTTCATCCACAGGCCCATGCTTGACAGAACTGGTGCATTCTCAGGGTTTCTCAGGGACAGATTGGCCTTCAATTTGGATGCTCTGAGGGATCCAGGAAACAAATGCAAAGTTTTAACACTATTTTACACAACTCCCTATGATGAGCTATATGCAAACTAGAAGCATAGGGGCACCTGGGTGGCTCAGTCGGTGGAGCATCCAACTCTTGATCCCAGCTCAGGTCATGATCTCCCGGTTCATGAGCTCGAGCCCCACATCGGGCTCTTCGCTGACCGCTTGGAGGCTGCCTGGGATTCTCACTCATGAGTTCGAGCCATGTGTCAGGCTCTGTGCTGACAGCTCAGAGCCTGGAGCCTGTTTCGGATTCTGTCTCTGTCTCTCTCTGCCCCTACCTCCCCCCCACCCTGCTCACACTCTCTCTCTCTTAAATATCGGTAAACATTTAAAAAATTAAAAAAAAAAAATCCCTGACTCTCCCCTTTTGGGTAGGCAGGTTTAAAAATTTCTTAAAAAGTAGCATTTTTAGAAAATAAAGGCAAGAACATTGGTATTGACCAGGGATGGTCTCTAGTTTCGGTTTTTAAATGAGCCTTGCTCAGAAAGGTTTTTAAATTTTTTTGTTTGCTTTTTGTTTTACTTTGTTTTTTGGTAAAAACATGCTCTATCTTATATGGGCTTTCTATATTCATTACTACACAGTAACTTCTTAGGAATTAATTTACTTAGGACTTCAATATTGAACTTATGTATTATCCAGGGCTAGCTTTGGCTTGATTTCTCCCTTCTGCTTACTGAGCTACCATTTGGTTACTTGTACCAGACCAGGGTAAACTCAAGGAAAGAATAAAGATGCAAGTTGTGCCCCCAAATGGCCGAAATGATTCTTAAAATAGAATGAGGTGGAGGCACTTGCTTTACTGTATATCAGTACCTTTTATAAAACTGTAGTAATTAGGACAGTGGGGTTTTCATCCAGGGATAAAGAAAGAGGTCATGGCAGAGAACATGGCAGAGAGTCCACTACTTGATAGATGACAGAAGTGGCCCTGAAGGGTCTAGGGGAAAGAGCTGAACTAGTCGGTAAATGGAACTGGGGTCCTGGGCTTTCCAAATGGGAGAAAATGGGTCCCTATCCCATACCAAACACAAAAATCAATCCTAGACAGACGGAGGAACTAAATGTGAAACGAAAACTTGGAACTTTTAGATGAAAATAGCAGAGGTTTATCTTTATCAGCTTGCAATAGGGAAGTATTTCTTAGACAAGATCCAGGCAAATCAAAAGTAAAAGACTGATAAGATTTAACTGTATTAAAATTCAAAACATCTATGCACCAAAATTCACCTTAAATAAAGTACAAGGAGGGAAAGTATAAAGTACAATAAGGGAAAATATTTGCACAATACCGAGAGGGGATTAGGACTAAGGACGCATAAAGAACAAACTACCAATAGAAAATAATCAAAAGATATTATTCAAAGAAGTTGAAAACTAAGAGGCTGATAAACACACCTAAGTTCACTAGTAATCAGAAATGCAAACTAAAACTTCAAGGGCGTTGTTCCTTTGCTCTTAAATTGCAAAAATTATAGTCTGATAATGATAATACCAAGCTTTATCACAGGTGTTAAGCAAAAAGTACTCTTTTATATTTTGATAGTGGATGTTGAAATTGGTACCACTTTTAGAACAATCTGGCAATATTTAGTAATGGATAGGTACATGTACAATACACAAATTTTTGATGTGCATATAGCCACATAGATGAATCTCATGATTATAGAGAGGAAAAAACAAATTGCAGTTGAATGCAGTATATATATTATTATATATTACATATTATTAAAATACATATTACATTTAATTTATATGAAGCTTAAGAAGCATGTATAACAAGATTGCAAAATAACTTTAGTAAATTAATTTAGTAAATAGTAAAATAGTAAAGACATAGTAAAATAATTACGACAACGTGGGAATGATACCAAATTCAGGATAGCAGTTATCCGGAGGTGGGGTGGGGAAGGCTAGTAGTGGGGACTTCAACTGTACAGACCCACACATGTTTTATTGCTTATATTGAACAGTGAACTCAAAGGTGTTGGTTACATTCTTCATGCTTTTCTGCATATCTGAAATACTTTACATTTTTATAATAATTGAATTGGTTGTTCTACACGGTAACAGCTTGAGTCAAAAAAAGTCTGAGGCTTTGGGGACTTTGTACTGAAGACTGTTTATTCGTTCTGATCTGCCAACCATTTTTAGGTCTTCAGGAAAATTAAAATGCAGGCAGCCAACATGCTTTGTCTTTAAAAGATGTGGAAAATATCAAAACCGACTGAATGTTTGGTTCAATCTGAGGAATTGAAAATGTGGCTCTGGAATCTGAGAGTGTGGTTGTCTTCTGGAGGAAAGAGGTATTATTAGACGAAGATAGGACGGGGTTTTGGGGTTTTTTTTGTTGTTTTTTGTTTTTGTTTTGAAACAACAGACCTTCACTCTTTGTTGAATTATGTAACACCAAGGAAGTAGCAAACTTGTTCTGTCATTCCATTTAGCATATAATCCAAATGCTCCAAAATCCCACCCCCTCCACCCAAATAAGCCACAGGCTTTCGGAATCCGCACTGGGGGACCTGGCCTGGCCTGCTGCTCTTTCCATGGGTTTGGGCCAGCTCTGCTTTAATCCACGGATAAACTGCTGTGAACTTGGGAAACTTAAGGAACTCTGAGAAAGTTCTGTGTTGCTTTTGGGGACAGGTTTCCAACATCCAGGACACTTGATGTAAACTCTTCCCGCCCTCCTCTCCCACGTGGCTCCCAGCTGCTGGAAGCCTGGGGGCGTCTCCAGGCAGGGTCCAGCAAGGGAGGTGCTCAGGCAGGGACAGAAAACAGGAAGCAAGCAGGCTTTCCCCTCATTCATGCTTGGCAGTGAGAGGCCGCTGTCCAGGGCTAACGTTCTTGCCAGGACAGACTCCATTTTCCCCTACATGGCCAGAAATACCTTAACTCCGTGTGAAAGATCAGGTCTCATTTTAAACTCATCTGCCTTCTCTGTTTACATATCTACGAGTACCTCCCTTGCAGCTCATTTTGAGATGAGCTGATGTCTCGGTGTTAGTTCATTCACTGAGACATTAGCATTTTACTGACATTATAATCATTATTTGAGATGGTCTGAGGTCTCGGTTTACCCTGCCTTAACAGAGGGTCTCCGAAATCCAGAACTCAGGAGGGATATCCATCCTACCCTTTGGGTTACTGAAGCTTCTCTCTGGCCCCTCATTCTCTAGGGAAAAACATACTATTCGCTAACTTTTTCAGATTTCTAGGTACAAGGACAGGGCAATTGACGGTGCTTATACCAATTCTCACTGGTTCTACTAACCACCCCCATTCCAGACCTTGTGTGCTGGTCATTGTCCCTGGGGAAAATGTGTGTAGGGAGACTGGAGGTAGGAGAGAAGGTCATAATCAATAATCAAGCCCAGAGAGAGGTCAGCCCATCCCCATCCCTACTCCCTAGACCCTGGCAGTCAAGATTCTTCTCTTCCTGGCATTAATAGATTTTGTTTTTTTTTAAGGCTACTTATCCTCCTTAAGGAGATTTGCCCCCAGTTCTAGCTGAAGCGAGAAGAGATGTAAAGGGATGCCAACTAGGAGAGGGAAATGGGTCCTCAGCCCCTACCTAATCTCCTTTAGATGACAGTGCCCAGGGACACCATACCAGGCACCACATCAGGAAAGAATGGTTCACCTACTAGCTGGAATAGTTTTCAAGAGCTACCTTTTAAAAATAGTGAGGGGCGCCCGGGTGCCTCAGTCAGTTAAGCGTTCGACTTCAGCTCAGGTCATGATCTCACAGTTTGTGGGTTCGAGCCTGGCGTCAGCTCTGTGCTGACAGCTCAGAGCCAGGAGCCTGATTCAGAAAATTTTAAATAGTGAAATAACCCCCTTACTGACCTTACTAGGAAATGTTTTACATAGCTGTGTATTTACCTAAGAAACATAAATTGAATTTTTCAGTGCTCTACTGCTCTTAGCTAAATTTGCTTAAGCATTTTTGTGTGAAACAGGTTATTTCGATTCTTTTGTTAAAAATATGGACACTGTCAGAGACAAAGTCAATAAATGTTATTTGAACCTACTGGGAGCCCGGCATTTTAAACAACTCTCTGAACTAAGTGAAGAATCCCAAATCCCGGTGGTGGAATATTCTATAGCATAAATAAAAGGTATTTTGTGCTCTCCAGATTCTTCTTCCAAGGCCAGTGCACTCGTATTTGAAACCAGCCTGTACAGGGTGCTTCTTATTTTTCTCTAAGTGAACAAAAACCCTGGAATTTCCAGGATCCAGATGAATTTTGGGGAACTGTTATATTGCTGTTACGCTCTTTGATTTTATCTGCAGGGGTTGGGAGAAGTCATTTGTGTTTCTATTATTCCTTAAATACCAAACAAGAAGCTTTCCACCCCCTGCAGAAAGACAAGAGGTAGCACCCGCTTCCACACTGGCCTGCAAGCTGTCCCCAGAGGGGCCACATTTGTGTTGCTCGCCTTCGTGCCCCAGGTTCCAGAACATTCCTTGGCACGTGAGTAGGGGCGATATTTGCTAGATGAATGAACGATCAAACAAGAGGACAAACAGTTCAACTGAGGACGTTCTTATACGGAGCCTGAAGACACGGTTGGACCACAGGGCTCCAGGGATCTGTCAGCAACTGACACCTCTGGTAAGGACGCTTCGTGGTGGGTGCCATGTCACGAAGCCTCGCCCTCAAAATCCAGGCAGGTTCGGTAGCCGCAAGAGTGCTGCTCGCTGTGCACTGCTTCCCTTAGCAGTCATTCCTAAAGCCAGGGCAAGTTACGACACAACTGTAAGCACCTGATGTGAAACTGAAAACTTATTTTTGACATGACTGAGTTTTGCAAGCTAGGTTTCTGAGGGGCCTGGGAGGCAAGGCAGCTGGGACAGGAGCCACCAGTTGGTGTCTTCCTAGCTCTGGCCTACCCATGTGCCCAAGAACTCACACCCTTCCCAGTGTGGCTGCAGGGGTGGCCCGGGGACAGCTGCGGGGTAGAGGTTCACTGACTCCGTGTACTCTGGCTTTAGAAAACCACGACAGGGGTACCTGGGTGGCTCGGTCAGCTAAGTTTCTGACTCTGCATTTTAGCTCAGGTCATGATCTCACAGTTTGTGAGTTTGAGCCTCGTGTCAGGCTCTGTGCTATTAGCTTGGGATTCTCTCTCTCTCCCCACCCCTCTCAAAAAATA